AGTCTTCCGCCAGGGAGAAGGTGAACTCACCAGGAAGCTCGTCGTGTCCCCACGTCCAGGCATCCGCCGTGCGCCTCCGCCCCGGCCAGGCCAGGTGGCGGTCGACCTTCGACGGCAGCCCCTTGCCGTACTGCGCCCAGGGCGCACTAGCGGTGCTGCCCGTCCTCTCGGCCTCCGCCCCACTCTGGCGAGAGTCACGACGGCGTCGTGCGACGCCCTGTAGTTACGTGAAGTCTGGGGAAACCAAAGGTACCAATACCGCAACTCCCCGGACCTCTCCCGGGGTGCGTTTTGACCAGGATTTCGAGGCGAATCCAGCGGTGGCGACGACGGCCTCCCAGGAGGCCCAGAAAGGGGAAAACGAGGGAAGGGTAGCGGTGTGGGTACCTTTTCCTCCTTCGAAGGTCTGTGCGATGTCCCAGCAGCAGTCGACGCAGCGGGAAAAAAAGTGGCGCGCCTCGGGGTCTTCACGACCCGCGCCGCGGGGCTGTTACACTAGCACGGCGGGCGGCGTGCAGGTCGGGTGGGCCCTCGACGCAGCCCCAGAGGGAAACCGGGGGGGGGGTCGCCCGCCGAATCCCGCCCCGCGCGGGCTAGTCGCATGCGGGACTGCTGCTCCCGGATCGCACGCCCGTCCTCTTCCCAGTGTTCGGTGCCTCCTGCCTGGCGCAAGACGCTACTGCCAAACGTCCTGTCAGACTCTGCTTGTCATCAATCAGCTGCACCTGTGCCAGCTGATGCTCCCTCTGGTGATCCCCAGTGCGGGCTTCTCTTGCCGAGGGTCCGATGCCAGACCTTCTGTGGGTGCTGCTCAGAAGAACTCAGCGGGCGGGGGCCTGCCGCGAACCTGCCGTGCAATGGCCCGTGGCCTCCCCACCTGGGAGTGCGTCTGCTGGCGGCGACGCCGCGCACTGCAGGGGCCAAAAGCTGCCTGATGAGCTGGGGAATCGCCGTGGTCCGTGTAGGGGTCTCCTAGATGCGGTCCGAGCAGATGGGGTCGGAGGACCGGGCCGCACCGCCGATGCATCGGCGCCGTCGGCGTGGAGGAAACCAAACACTGCATCGAGCCGCATCGGCGATGCCTCGGCGATGCGGCGCGAGCCTCCGACCACACCTGCTCGGCGCCCGTGCGGGAGACCTGGGCCGCACCAGGAAGTTGGAAGCAGCTTTCTGTCGCAGCGCTGGTGAACGCACAGCGCGGCCAGGGCGTCAGACCGCAGGACGCCGGAACACACACACACACAAACACAAACACAAACACAAACACAAACACAAACACAAACACAAACACAAACACAAACACAAACACAAACACAAACACAAACACAAACACAAACACAAACACAAACACAAACACAAACACAAACACAAACACAAACACAACCACAACCACAAACACAAACACAAACACAAACACAAACACAAACACAAACACAAACACAAACACAAACACAAACACAAACACAAACACAACACAAACACAAACACAAACACACACACACACACACACACACACACACACACACACCACACACACACACACCACACACACACACACACACACACACACACACAGACACACACACACAGACACACACACAGACACACACACACACAGACACACACAGACACACACAGACACACACAGACACACACAGACACACACAGACACACACAGACACACACACAGACACACACACACACAGACACACACACAGACACACACAGACACACACAGACACACACAGACACACACACACGCATACACACATACACACATGGCTGCATTCACGTGTGGAACACACGGGGGCCACGAACTGAACACACACGGGCGGGAGCTCGGTCTCCACGGCCATCGAAGTGCCGCGCGTGAGAGACATCCGGTCATACTGCAGGTGAATCGAGCTCTCGCCGAGGCCAGCCGCGCCAGTCGTACCCAGCTTCCTGGTCGCTCGGACCTTGACCGAGGCTGGGAGGTAAACGTAGGAGAACAGAGGGGGAGGGGACGCGAGCAGAAGAGGGGGCGATGGGGGGGGGCTGGAGAGGAGGGGGGAGGAGGAGACTCCCCCGGCCCCGCTCGTTCGATTGGCCTCTCGGGCGACCGTGCTATCGCGTGGTCTGCGTTCGCGTGGAGGGAAGGAAGGAGAATGATCATACCAGGAAGCTGGAAACGCACGTGGCTGGATTCACGTGTGGGACATCCAGGGGCCGCGCTCTAGAACGCCGCCTGCCCTGGCCTCGCGTGTGTCCGGCTCTCGCCCAGGGTGGCCGCGTCACGTGCGTGCGGGGGCATCAATTCTCGACGTCGGCGCTGCTCGCAGGGGCGAGGGCGGGGAACGCCAGGGCACTGGGCCCCTCCAGGGCCCCAGATCGGGTCAAAGTCGGCGCGCCCCCCCCCCCCCGCCCAGCGCCAACAGTATCGTCTCCGATTTGGCCGGAATCGGCCGAGATCTCGGCTGGCGCCCACGGTCATCCCGCCTCCTTGGCGAACGGACAGCAAACACCCAGACCCACAGAGGGATCGGAGGGGGTGGGGCGGACTGGCTATTGGCACGGGCGCGGGTTGTCGGACCCTGGGGGGCGCTCCCGTTCGAGCGGGGGCCCCCATCCGACAACACGCACCCGTAGCCCCCTTCGTCCCCCCTTTGGGCGTGTGTGTGTGTGTGTGTGTGGTTCGTTCGTCGCTCCTGGTCTCATGCTTTGCTCGTGCAGGCCCGCCAACAGCGGTGCGGCGCAGCAGAGGACCTCCGAGGAACGGACCCACGCCCCCCCCGGCCGGGAGGGAGGCCCCGCCGCCGCGGCTCCCCGACGAGCGCGCGGCCCGCAGAGAGAGATGGGCCCGCACAGCACGCGGGGCGCCGCCGGAGGCGCCCGCCAGGGGAAGGGGGATCCTGCGCCGACCCCGGGAGTCTTCGGTGGCAGCTCGGGGGAGCCCCCCAGACCATCTTGCCCGCTCCTGCGAATCGACGCCGACTGACGCTAGATCGGCGCGCTAGCCGACGCCAGATCGACGCGCTGGCCGACGCCAGATCTGAGCTCCCATCGACTGCCAGACGCCAATCGACACTAGTCGACGCTAAAGACGGAGTTACGAGGGTACACACGGCTCCCATGATTTGCAACCGAAGGGATCTGCGCGGTCCCCCGAGATGTCCCGTTTGTGCCATTTCCGTTTCGTCGGTCGGCAGGGGTGCGAGCTCCCCACGCAGGGCTCACAACGGCCGAGCGGCAGACGTCCACGGGACCGAGGTCACGTCCCCGCCTACGCGCTCGCCGCAAGCAGCTTCAGCAAGGCAAGCACTTGCATATCGCAGCGACGCGAGCGGCGCAAGAAGAGGGCGGCCGCGGAGAAGGACAGCTTTTTGAGGCATATCGCAGCGACGCGAGCGGCGCAAGAAGAGGGCGGCCGCGGAGAAGGACAGCTTTTTGAGGGCAGAAAACATGCTCAACAACGCTTGCTCTCGAGCACGTGTTGCCTTGCGTCTCGTTCTTTGCCTTCAGCGGGCCCCCGCCTGCCATGAAAGAAGCAGGTCCCGAGGGAAACGGGTCCTGGACCCAGGGCCTTCCCCCAGGACCAACTCGTCGTCCTGAGCTGTTTTCTGGTGGCCCCAGTGCCCCAGGAGGGCCCCAGGAGCCCGAACGCGGTGAGAAACCTCCAGGACCCGTTTCCCTCAAGGCACGTTCACGCAATGGCGACGAAGGGGCATGGCTTTCGCGCCATAACTCGGGCCTCGGGTGGCCGCCTGCGACGACTCGGGCACCCTGGAGGCGCTGTCGGTGAGGCGCAGCTGCTGGAAGGCATCCCGAGGCGGGCAGAACCTTTGGGAACCGACGAAAAGGACAGACATATTTAGGGAACCTACGAAAAACAAGGAACACCATACCCATCGATCGGAAGAAGTAGGTAGAAACATGAAGTAGGCAGGCGGTGAAGTAGATTGCGTGTCCGCCCGCCCCCTGAAGAGGAGAGAAGAGGGGAAGTCACTCGATCATTGAAGTAGGAAGGCGCCTAAAGTAGATCAGGATCTGGGAATCTAGGAATACCTACTTTCAACGACCGATGGGTACAAAAGCACAAACCAGCACGACTGGGGGCTAGCAGCGCGGCGATGTGCATGACGAGTGCTCGCAGCAGCACGGGTGTTACCATCACGACGGGGCCAGCAGCTCCTCGGCGGCGTTGAGCACGCCAGTGCGACTGGGACTACAGTGGAGGCCAGTCCACAAGAAACCTTTTACAAGGAACCCAACCCTGAGACCCCAGGACGTCCATTGGTTTTTGGTGTGGGAACGACGCGCTTTCCATCGCAAAACCTTCGAACCTAAGAAACCCAGGGCACCCTGGAGGCAAGCAGGGTGTTTCTTGGCATAGGCCTCCATTTCGGGGCTGCCCGCAGGCACCTCCTAAGTGCCTCTCCAAGGCGCCCGCAGGCACTTCCCAAGTGCCTTCCCTGAGCGCCCACAGGCACTTCCCAAATGCCTTCCCTGAGCGCCCGCAGGCACCTCCGAAGTGCCACTCCTGGGCTGCCCGCAGGCGCATCCGAAGTGCTTTCCTGGGCTGCCCGCAGGAGGCGGAGCATGCTCGAGGATCGAGAGTCACGCCGTGCCTTGCCTTCTCGGGCCTCGCGAGGCCTCGTCCGCGGCCTCCGGGGTGCTCTCGGCGAAGACCCCCAATAGACTCCCAAACAACCCGCGAAGATGGAGGAGGAGGACGAGGAGGAGGAGGCGGAGGAGGAGGAGGTGGGACGAGGAGGGAGGAGAAGACGAGGAGGAGGGGGGAGGAGGAGGTGGGAGGAGGAGGGAGGAGGAGGAGGTGGGAGGAGGGAGGAGAGGAGGAGGAGGAGGAGGAGGAGGAGGAGGAGGAGGAGGAGGGGAGGAGGAGGAGGGGCTATCCCCCCGACGAAGGCAGGTCACGGTCAAGGTCAAGGCACCTCACAGGTGCCTCTTCCCGGGCGCCCGCGAGAACGCCTCCGAACCTGGCGAGCCCCCGCCCCGCGCTCCTGGTGCGTCCGCCGCCGCGAGGGGCCCTCGCCCGCCTCGCTCGGCGGCCCCGCCTCGTCCGCGGCCTCCCCGAGGGTGCCGATGGCCGACCTCCCAGGGGGAGGGGGAGGGGGAGGGGGAGGAGGGGGAGGGGGAGGAGGAGGAGGAGGGGGAGGAGGGAGGAGAGGAGGAGGAGGAGGGGGAGGAGGAGGAGGAGGAGGAGGAGGAGGAGGAGGAGGAGGAGGAGGAGGAGGAGGGGGGGAGGGGGAGGAGGAGACGAGGAGGAGGGGAGGAGGAGGAGGAGGAGGGGAGGAGTTGGAGGAGGGGAGGAGGAGGAGGAGGAGAAGGAGGAGGAGGAGGAGGAGGAGGAGGAGGAGGAGGAGACGAGGAGCACACCCGGAACGCACGGCACCCGGCGCCCCGGGTGTGGAGGCGAGGGGCCACGGGCACTTTTGGTCCTGGCCCGCAGTGGACAGGAAGCTCCTCGCAGTCGAAATCCAAGTCTGCGACGATCTGATGTGCTCCATCCGGGGCCTTTTCCGTGACTTCGGCCGCTGGGGCCTGTTGTTGGGCCCCTGGTCGACTGCACGCAAGAGTGACCCTGGGTAAGAGTGACCTTTGGTGCGCGGCTTTTCGGAGGCCGCGGGGGGATCAGCCACAAGTGCGCAAGACGCTACTACCGCATCGCGTGCGGCGTTCGGAGGACCCCAGTGGGCCCGCGCAAAAGGTGACTCCACTGAAAGGTCAACCCTTGGTAAGAGTGACCTATGGTGCGCGGCTTTTGAGGGCCGCGGGGGGATCACGCACAAGCGCGCAAGACGCTACTGCCGCATCGCGTTCGGCGATCGGGGGACCCCAGTGGGCCCGCACCAAATGTCACTATGGTGAAAGGTCACTCTTGCGTGTTGTCGAACTGATCGCCGACGGAGAGCTGGCCCCGGGGTTGTGGTCGGGAGGTCTGTGGACGTGGATCGGAAAATCATGCCGTCGGATGGCTGGGGCTGACGTTGCCCGGACCTCCTCGCGCTGCGACAGAAACTCGACACACACAGACACACACAGACACACACATCCACACATACGCAGACACACACACACTTACACACACGCGCTTACGCGCACGTGCACTCGCTTGCAAACGCTTCCACAAACAAATTTGCACTCACAGACTTGCACACAATTGCACACACTTACACACGACAACACTCACGCCTACACACACTTACACATACAGACACTTACACACTTACGCACAGACACACTTACACACACTTACACACCAGTTATACACACTTACACAAACGCACACACACACACCTACACATACTTACACGCACTTACGCACACTTGCACACACACACACACACGCACACTTACACACCTACAAACACACACGTCACGCACACACGCACATATAAATATTCTGACACACATTCACACTTTTACACACTTACGCGCAGACAATTATACACACTTGCACACAGACACTTACACACACTTACACACGCTCTGACACACACCCTTACACGCCTGCGCACACGCTGGCACACTCTTACACACACGCACACGCTTACACACACGCTGACACACACACTCTCCCACACACGCACACACTTACACACACTTGCACACACACTTACACATACTTGCAGACACACTTACTCGCACTTGCACACACACACACACTTACAGACATACACTTCACGCACACACGCACCTACAAAGACACTTACACACAGTCATACGCTTACACACACTTACGCGCAGACACTTACACACACTTACACACAGACACTTACACACACCCTCACACGCCTGCACACACGCTGGCACACTCTTACGCACACGCACACTCTTACACACACGCTGACACACACACACACTCACTATCCCACACACACATACTTACACACACTTACACACACACACTTAAACATCATTGCAGACACACTTACACACACACTTACACACACCTTCACACACTTACACAAATCTACACAGACCCTGACACACACTTACACTCACACACTTACAGACATGCACACACACACACTTACGCACACTTCCACGCCCACTTACACACAGACACACACACACAGACACACACACACACTCTCTTACACACAGACGCACACACACACTTACACACATACGCACACTTACACACGCGTGCACACACTTGTACACACACGCACCAACACGCACACGCACACACACACGCACACACACCTACACACACTTACACACACTTACAAGCTTCCACACACTCACACACATGCATACACGCAACAACTGTATGTTTTCGCTGTCTTGGGGCTGGGTGGGCCCCCCGGGATCGTGCAACAACAGCGCAAGAGAAAGAACTTGTCCTGGGGTAATAGGCCAGACCTCTAAGGGTCCACGCCGTGAGATGATCACGACGTCGGAGGTCTGGGGAACCGACCCAGGGCTGAGCGGTAGCGATGTGCTACTGCACGAATGGTATAACTGGGGGTACGTCGACCCTTATCCCAGACATCATGGGGTTCTCGAATTGACCCGAAATTTTGGGCCCAACCGTGGGATATACGATTGGGGGGCGTTCATCCTCGACAGGGGTGTGTCCGAATAGCCCCCTTGGGGTGTACTCCAAGGTTTCCCCCATTTCTGAGCGGCCAAAATTTTCGGGCGGAGCTCGGGGATTGGGATAACAAGTCGCCTGCGATGGTACATGAGTAGAGGCAGCCGCGGAGGGACGAAGATGGAGAGGGAAGTCCGCTCAGACGGCGTGCGTCTGCCTGGGCGGCGCTGGCGGTCGGAGGTGGGGCCCTCGCATATCGATCCGTTCCGAGGGGTGCCGCAGACAGACGAGGTGTGGGGCTCACGGCTCGCAGTTCGTGATGTCTTCGCGTGTTACGGTCCCCAATTAGGCTTGCCCAGGGGGCTTCACTTGGTTAAAAAATTGGTGCCTCGGGGGCTTACAATACTTTGCCCGTTCCCCGGAGATTCCTCGGGTTCCCCAGGTTCTCCGCCCCCGGTGCCCGTTCTTCAGGGGTTCTCCAAGTTCTCCGCCCCCAGTGCCATCCGCGGGTTCCCCGAGTTTCCCGCCCCCAGTGCCATGCCAAGCAATGCCAAGCACTGCGCCCATGCAACATGAAGCTTTCCTCTAATTGGGCTAGCGCCAGGTTTATTTTTTTCGAGACGTCGGACCTAAGGGAAGAGAGCGACGGCGTGGGCACAAGAGCAATTGGCGGGTTTCGGAAACCCTGAAACCCGAAGGCTGTCATCTCTTGGAAGGGCGACGCTTGCTTCCGCCGGCTTCCTCCGGTGGAGCTGCCCTCGCTTTGCCTCCGCCAGGGAAGAGATGCCAACTCGTTCGGTCCTCGAAGGCGAGGCCCTCTCTAGAGCGCTACACTTAGGTCGGGCATGTCCCCCTCAGAAAAACAAGAAATAGTCCATACACATTCCAAAATAATCTTAAACAAAAATAGTACCCATATTATTTCTGGACTATGTTGGAATATTCCTCCTGTAGGGGGACAGGCCCGACTTAACGCTACACGTCGTTCATCTCTAATCGTGCTCATCTCTAGCTGTGCTCGTTCCTAACCGTTCCTGACCCCCCAGTGGCCAGGAACAGGCCCAGGATAGAGCAATCAGACACGACAAGATCTCGGCCCCCCAACAAAATCACAGAACTTTCGAAGAGTTTGAAATGAACAATGTGTACACTTCTCCCCTGTGGTGGTGACCCCTCGCCCGCCGCCTTCCGGACTTCCTGGCCCCCTAGTGGCCAGGAAGAGGCCCAGGATAGAGCAATCAGAAACGACGGGATCTCGGCCCCCCCAGCAAATTCACAGAACTTTCGAAGAAATGTGTACACTTCCCCCCTTGGATTCCAACGTGGGTCTGTTACTATAGAAAAGGGTCGCGAAACAAACGTTGAAACACGTATTCTGCCCATCTGTGCATATGCGGTCTGGCAAAGCGGGGCGGTCCCAACGCGACACCGAGGAGCGTCGCGGGCTCGAGCCTTTGGCTCGAGCGTCGTGGGCTCGAGCCCGTGGTGGCGACCCCTCGCCCGCCGCCTTCCGCACCTCCCGCGCCGCAGGTGCTGCAGCCGCGGCCGCCGCGGCCGCGGCCCTCAGCGGGCGGCGGCCGCGGCGGCCGCACCTGCCGCGCGGGAGGCGCGGCAGGCGAGGGTCGAAGCACGGAGGAGCTCCTCACGACCAGAGGCTGGGGTTGGGTCGGGCGTGTCCTCCTACAGGGGGATTTTGGAATGAAAAATTAAAACATGTACGCCAAACGTGCTCAAAAATAGTCAAACAATTCGCCGGCCCAACGGGCCAGAGGCGTGCTAAGATCTCCGGTAACTTGTTAACAATATTTCTAGTTCGCGCGCGCGGAGCGGCCCCTGGGGGCCCCCGGACGAAAAGTACCCCGGCAAGGTCCCGAGAGAAGCCCGGGAGAAGCCACCAGACCACTCCAGGGGAGGGTATTTTTCGACACCCCTCACGAGGATCGTGGCCTCCGAGGGGGGAGCCGCAATCGACTACCCCCAAGAGCCCCCCAAGAGGCCCTGGGGGCCTCCAAAACGCCGCCAAGGAGCCCCAAGAGACTCCCAAGAGGTCCCCAAGAGGCCCCCAAGAGGCCCTAAAGAGGGCTCCAGGGCCGGCGGCATGAGCGAAGCGATTAATAATAGGAAAATAGTCCCCAGGCTATTTTTGGACTACTTTTGGAGCTCCTCACGACCAGGGTTAGGTCGGGCGTGTCCTCCTACAGTCGGGCCGCTGAAATAAGGAACAGTGAATAAGGAACGAGGCCCCTTTTTTGGCCCCCAAGAGCGCCTGCGTGCACGAGGAGGGCTTGAGGAACAGCCATGGAAGGGCCTAAGGAACCTCGAGCCTCTTCTGAACCCAAACTGTTCCTAAGTCCAGCGACTTGACTGTACAGGGGGATTTTGGATGAGAAAATAAAAAGCACAGCCAAAACATGTTCTTACCATGGTCAAGAATCGTAGAGAAAATATCCTCCCCAGACTCTTGTTTGGACTACTTTTGGATATTCCTTCTGTAGAGGGACGTGCCCGACATAAGGCTGGGGGCGCGAGCACGCTGCCACCTTGGCTGCGC